GTCTGCCCACCAGCTAGGCCTCATCTCCTTAAGGTTCCATAGCCTCCCGAATTCTACTGCAAAGACTAAACAACAGCATCAGAGCTATAAAATGCAAATATTTTTGGAGTTCTTTCAAGAACCAGAGTATGGAATCCTGGAAACTTCACAGGGTGGCAATCACTCAAGATCTTGACAGAGAGTCAGACTTTGGCAGACACAAGGACAGATAGGACATTCCAGGCATAGGGACCAAGAGCTTGTCATTTATCTTCAGAGAATTATCATAGCTGGCCACTTGTAATGGATAATCCTGTGGACTTGCTCCCCTAGCCACGTAGGAGGTTCCCATTGCCCCTCTCCTCGTTTTCAGTCTAGGTGGTGTGACAAGAATGAGCTGGTATTCTGTGTCTTAAATTTTATTGTATAACAATCACACACAGAGAAGTTTGAAGTCTGAAGATTCCCTCAGAGAGTAAGTTCCAACCTGATACCCTTCACCTCTGAATATTTAACATATCCCCTAAAGGCAGAGTGCCTTGATGTAACCATCACAATCAGAAAAGGCACAGCCATCTCTCAGTCCCACTGATTCCTAGAATATTCCATTTTGACCAACAACAGCCTGTACAAGGGTCCAAGTCAGAATCCTGCATCATGTTGCCTGCTAATGCTTTTTAAAAATCTGTTCAGAATGCTTTCTTCAGACTCTTCCAGTTCCATGTGCTTGATACACAATACTCTGCCAGTCATTCCAACCATGCCTCTGAACTTAGGCCTGGCTCCCTGTGGCTGAAGCCTGGTGATGCGCTGGCAGAGATCACAGAAGCACCACTGCTCTTCTGGGGCATTTGCCAGCATGTGCATGGCTCATCTTGACTGACGTGGTGGCTATGGCTCCTCAAAAGAAGCAAGGGGAAACACTTGACATTATAATTCTTTCAAACTTTCATTTGTTCATGAGTTTACTCCTGTCCAGATGGACTCCTGACACCCTCTTTCATGCAGTGGACTACAACCTACCACTGTCCTTTAGTTTTCACTGACTTAAGTGTAGCCAGCAGAAACCCCTCAGCTAGCCACTGTGACCTTCGACACACCCTACCATTCTGTGATCCCTCCCTTGTTTTCTGAGACAGTGGAGTGTCCTTGGCTCATTTCACACTTTTCTTTATCCAGCCTAGGAATAGGCCATTTCTCCAGGAAGCCTGGTACCTAGAACCTAGAAGTGGTACTTAGAAACCAAGATGTGTGTGTGTGTGTGTGTGTGTGTGTGTGTGTCACACATTGTGCATGGTCACACAACAACACTGGGCTTCCAGACTGAACTATAGAAACTGAACACTGTGACACAGTGTATCTTTCATTCGAACCCTATCACAAGGTCTAAGCATCCTGGCCTGTTCTCTCTCTCATACAGTATGTCAGTTTCTCAGAAAACTGGGAATCAATCTACCTCAAGACCTAGCAATACCACTCTTGGGCATATACCCAAAGGATTCACACTCAGACCACAAGGACATTTGTTCAATTATGTTCATTGCAGCATTATTTGTAATAGCCAGAACCTGGAAGCAACCTTGATGCCCATCAACTGAAGAATGGATAAAGAAGATGTGGGTACATTTACACAACGGAGTACTACTCAGCAGTAAAAAAACAAGTATATTTTGAAATTTACAGGCAATGGATGGAGCTAGAAAAAAATCATACTAAGTGAGGTAACCCAGACCCAGAAAACAAACATGGTATGTACTCACTCATACGTGGATGTTAGACATAAAGCAAAGGATAACCAGGCTACAGTTCACAACCCCAGAGAAGCTGAGAAATCAGGAGGACCCTAAGAGAGACATACATGGAGCCCCCTAGGAATGAGAAATAGACAAGATCTCCCAAATAAAATGGAAGCATGGGGGGTAGAGGGAGGGTAGGAGAGGAGGGGGAGAGGGAAGAAGAACATGAGGGATTGACTGATGGCTGACTTGGGAGAAGGACAGAGAGGGAGAGCAAGTAAAGTGGTATCTTGATAGAGGGGCCATTATGGGGTTAGCAAGAAACCTGTCACTAGGGAAATTCCCAGGAATCTAGCAAGGATGACCCCAGCTAAGAAGTGGAGAGGGTTCCTGAACTGTCCTGTAATCAGTTCGATGACTACCTTAATTGTCACCATAGAACCTTCATCCACTAACTTATGGAAGCAGATGCAGAGATCCACAGCTAAGCACTGCCCGAGTTCCTAGAGTTCAGTCAGAGAGGCAGGAGTGATATGAACAAAGGGGTCAAGACCATGATGCAGAAATCTATAGAAACAGCTGACCCGAGCTAGTGGGAGCTCACTGGCTCTGGACTGACAGTTGGGGAACCTGCAAAGGACTGAACTAGGTCCTCTGAATGTGGGTGACAGTTGTATGGCTTGAGCAGTTTGTAGGGCCACTGGAAGTGGGACAAGTATTTATTCCTAGTGTATGAACTGTTTTTCTGGAACCCATTCTCTATGAAGGGATACTTTGCTCAGTCTAGAAACGAGGGGGGAGGGGAGACCTTGGTCTTTCCTCAACATGATGTGACAGACTTTGTTGACTTCCCATGGGAGAACTCACCCTCTCTGAGGAGTGAATGGGGGGTTGGGTGGGGGAAGGTGGGAGCAGCTGGAAGAGGGGAGGAAGAGGGAACTGGGATCGGTATGTAAAATAAAAAAGGATTTAAAAAAAATAAAGTCCTCTGGGAATATATAATAGGGCCACTTGTGCCAATGCTCATCCAATATTGGCCCACGTATTTCTAGTTTGTAAGCTGTTACTCTGTAACTCTATGATGTCTCCTTCAATCAGGAACGCGCGGAAGAGCATCTACTTTGTAGCAGGCTCCAATCAGTGCAGTGATCAGAAAGTCAGAAAAAAAGGTTCCCATCTCCAAACTTGTAGTCTTGTAGGAAAATAGCAGAGAGATGGGATGCCCCAGGGAGTTATCCCACTCTAGCTAGAGGCAACATGCAACAGGTCCTACTGTCAGCTCAGAAAGCAAAATGCCACCAGGGTAGATGAAAACAGGTACCTTTAATGATGGCACTATCATTTGCAGACAACATAGTCACTGTAGGAAAGTGCAGAGCTGTCAGCTGGAAATACTTCTGACTTAAAAATACTTTCAGCAGTTTGAAATAAGAGCCCTTTGGTCCGGTAGACGGATGTGACATCTCCACTCTACAAGAACAAAAGCTACCACATAATACCATCTGCATTCTTAAGACTTTACAGTGAGCAAGCTGCACCTTAACAAGAATGGTTTCCTTCACCAGATAAACGAGATAGTGACAACAGTGCCACAGAACACGAGCAGCTGGACTTCTCAAACAAACTTCTTAATGACAGCCATCAGCAACCCAAACAGAACAGTGGCTAGAAACAACCCACCAATGACAACTGTGCACACTCTACCCACTGGCCTCCCCAAAGGACAGGCACTGTGTGACGGGCTGAGGTGTTTGAGGAGACTTAAGTCAATGGTGGCTGCATGAGTGTGTGTGCTGCACCTGGCTGTGAACAACACATGGGAAACCTACTATGGAGACAGAACACTGCTGGAAACAGCTGGAACACTTCATAAGTCAGGTGACGTTTGATTTGGGCTGGAAAGATGAGTACGATTTTGTCCACCAGATAGACAGAGAAGACTATGTGAAAGGTTCTATGGATGAAGAATTCAGCAAGAATTGGGCATTAGAAAAGCAAAGCTCCTTTAGGACAAAGTCACACATAGGCTTGGCAGAGCAGATGTCACTGGGGACTGATTTAGAAACAAAAGCTATGATACAGTCATTATAGCCTTGAATTTGCCATATTTGGCCTTTGTGAGACCTATGCATAAGGGAGACATACGATTAAGGATAAAATTGTAAGTATGCTTTAAATGTAAAGATGAAGAAAGACCAGAAGAAGTCAGGGTGGCCAACACAAGCCTGTAGTTCCACAGTCTTACCATCTGGGAGGCTGAGGCAGTATGATCAGAAGTCAAGGCCTGCCCGAGAGGTACAAGCCTAAGAGGAGAGAACTGGACCACACTGAAGAGTTAGTCATTCCAAGGTTTCCAAGGCCTTCTGTTCAGGGTAATCATGGAGAACAGCGATCTGGCAGCTGACTGATGCTGTTAAATTCCCATCTGACTAACATCAGAGGGAACTTCTGCTTAGAAGCAAGGCTGAGGCTCTGTGTGCTGGGGCCTATTCCTGTCTCTCCCTGTGATAGTGCAGCAGACACGCCTGTCTCTCCTGGGGACTGAGAGCCAATGACTCCTTACAATAGTGACAGCTAATCATACAACACCAGAGTCAGACCTGCTCCCCTGAGTCCTCCCAGGGAAAACTGGCAGTCACCATGCCAAAATGGGTATTGGAGTGGGAGTAGGGTTTGGTGTACATGGCATCTTGAATATATTATGTCATATTGTCAGCAATATAGGGGAGCACTGGTCAATGTGAAAACCCCTTTGCAGAAAAACTTTCAGAGAAGGAAGTATGGGGGCCAGAGACCAAAGTCAAACAGCTCATAGGGTTATGAAGAAATGGGGTGGGAAGTTAGGTGGGTGGCATATACCTGTAACTCCCTCACTCTGAATCCTGAAGCAGAAAAAAATATAGGTTCATGGCCAGTTTAGGCTGCATGATGACTTTGAGGCCAGCATGGACCTCACAACCAGACTGTCTCTCTACTACTCCCAACAAAGCGAAAAAGAAATTAGGAATTGCTCAACCAGTCCAGCTGCTATGAAATTGTGGGGTCATGTGAGTTTAAATCCTGCTGAACCTCAGTGTGATCAGGAAAACAAAAAGAATCTGCCTCATGGGCTGCTGTGGCTAACAGACTGGCCAGCACCACCTGGTACACAGTATGTCCTCGGCTTCTAAGACCGCATTCGGTGAAGGCTTCGTGCACAGAGGCCCACAGAGTCACTGCTTTAGGAGCTCAGGCTGCCATTCCTGTTAGCCCTGTTTTAACTGAGGAAGGAAGAGCAATACTCACAGTCTCTTCTTATCCACCACACGCTTAACTCGGATGGCTCTTTGTTCAGAGTAAAGCTTACATACTCCTGTTGAAGCAGAAAATACCAGAACAGAGAACATTTAAAATGGCATCTCAGGCGAAGGTATCATTAATACTAATGAGATACTACGTTCTTCAGCTAGCAAAGCTCTATTCTAAATTGCATCTCCTATGAAATACCACATTTGACCTTTAGAAGAAAATGAAATACTTTTTAAGTAATCTTCAACGAAATCCAAAACCGCAGTCCTGTGTTCCTTCACTTGCTGGGAATGTATCTCCTTGTGGGCTGTAAGAGAAAAGGACAGCACTCAGGTCTGTGCTCAAGGACCCCACAGAATAGTCAGCTTCCTCAAAGCTCTTGGTCGAAAGCATGTTCAAAAGCACAGCTATAAACCAGCCTCGTGTCAAGTGAGACTACATTTTTAAGAGTAAGATTTATTAGGGTTCACCAGGTGAGAGATTAAACCCATAGAAACTGCAGTCAAACAATTTATAGCTTATTACAGCACCAGGGGAGCTGAGTTGAACCAGCTCCTTCCGGAATGCTGACCTGGCTGTATTAACAGCTAGTGCTGAGGCTCACCTTCAAGTGTCATGCTTAAATCACATGTGCCAGAGCACGGACACCTCTGCCTGCACTGCTTTCAGCATACAGTGACTGCCTTCTCCCCTCAGACACTGAGTGGTACTATCCATAGTAGCCTGCTCTCCAAGAACCTTTCCCATTGATGAGCCACAAGGGCCAGGCCTATGCCAGTTCCTATGGTGAGACCCTGCTATCAGTGGAAAGGCTGGGTGCAGGCATGATGCCAAGACTTCAGAGAAATACCTCAAATGAACTAACTGAGGTCCAGAGGCAAGAGGTCACTGAAGGTCACAAATGCCTGCCCTTAAGAGTATGGGGCACAGGTTATGTTTTTACTAGAGGGCTGCATAACCTGGGACTCACAAGATGATCTGGATACTCTGCAATGCTGCACACATAATTTTGTGTGATGTATAGTTCCTGGTAAGCTTTCATTAGACTCTCAGTTATTTATTGATCAACATTCTCTGAGAAGCTTCTCCACCAGAAGTCAGCCATGAGTCCAATAGTAGCTGGCAATTTTGACCTCTGTAGTTCTGATGTATGTGCTTAAAAACCACAGAAGACATATGGCTGGGAAGCCTAGCTCCTCCTCTTCGGGGATGAAACCCAGTGAAGGGGAGATAATACTAGGCTCCTCCTGCCAGGCAAGGCTCTAGCATGTTGTAAGAATTCAAGTGATATGCCTAATTACTTTCTATACTGCTTCAAAGAAGTTGAGCCCAGGGAAATGAAGTGACTTGTCCAAGGCCATGGAACTAGCACGTAGCAGAGCTGGGGTGCATTGCTTTTAAGTCATGGCTGCAGAGTTTTCTCTCAACCATGACATTTCAAATGGGGGCTGACTTTAATAGGACAACTAGATCTTAGAGACTACTGCCATCTGTCCTGCCACTCAGAACATTGTCACACATGCATGTTTCCACAAATATACAAACACCTACAACACACACAATCTATTCCTCTGGCCTTGGTCTTTTGGTAGGTTATAGATTCTATTTAGAGAGGTCTTTTCCATTCCTGCCTTCCAATTATTTAACTTGAGTGAGGTCTTTTCAGGACTTTGAACAGCTTAGCTTAGAAGATGGACCAGGAAAGAAGGACTTTCAAGTTTTACGTCCTAAATGCCATTCAGAAAGTAAAGGGGATCATAAGTGGCAGCAGTGTGAGTAGTTAACTGTTTGGCACATTCATGGGATCTGTTAGTTTCTTTTGGAGCACTTCACCTTCTGTTCTGAGTTGTTGAATTGCCTCTGAACAGGTCCTAATGAATATCTGGGCATCCTGGTCTATCTGGTCTCGCTCTGTGTCCGTCATCCTCCCATATTCAGACATGGTATGGCTAAAATAGAGAAGAAAATGTGAGGGTGGCATCAGTGAGAACATAATGCAGTCCAGGTAGAGTGTTAAGAAAGGTTTCTCTGACCAAGTGACACCGAAGCTGAGACTTGGACAGGGGCTGGTCAGACCCCTAGGTGGAGCGGAGGCCATGAGGTGCAGTCTTCTAAACAGCTTCCACAGCAGCAGGCCAATCTAACATGCTGCAGCACACAGCTTTGCTGGGAACAGAGGCTCTGCCTGAGGACTGCATAACCTAATAACTATGTTAGAGTCCCAAGCTGTTCACCCTGTAGGGACACCATCCGAGAGTACTTGAAACATATGAGAAACTTCTGTGGGCTGTAGTCTTTAGATTCTAGAAAGCAATTTTCAAAGCTCACAATAAAAAGTCTCTAGAAATAAATTTCATTTCTCCTGATGCTAAGTTAAACCATCTGAAGTGACCAGGCTGGTAGGGACACCCACTTTCAGTAACAAGATCCTGAACAGCACAGAGCACATGGCTCACATTCACAAGCACTGGGTGAGTGTGGCATCTAACCATGAGGACAAAAGACAAAGTCTTGAGCATTCTATTTCACCTGTGACCCAGATCACAGGTTTCCACTCTGTTGTGAATGGCTCTGACCACTGGTCTGTCTTATCACCTACCGCAACCCAGAAACAATGGCCTCCCATAGAACTCACCCAACGTTACTTTTTCATGCCATGCTGGTCAAGAGATTATTGTGCCTCCATTCCAAAGCTGCCCTCTACTTTCCTGCTTTGGGACAGAGCTGGGGCCACCTCTGATCCTCACCTCTGCTGTGCTGCTATTTGCTTCTTCTGGCCATGCTTTGCTTTTCTCCATTGCATTTACTGTTCCCAGAAATACCAAAAAGTCTTTTTTCCTACAAAGCTATGTGGAAGTAAGGACTGTTTGCCTTGTGTCTGCTTCCCTGGTAAAATCAGGCAGCACCGAATACCTGACTAACAGCCAGATGCTGAGCACAATTCTCAGTGCTTTATGTGTATCTGATTTCTTATTTAACCTCACAAGTCATTCATTCATTCCCTTGTGTATGTCCTGAGCCCTCTTAGGATAAATACTGCACTAGGGTTCAAAACTGAGTAAGGCCCATTTCAGATCTCCACAAAAGGCACTCAGTTGGTGGAGTGATCAACACGAAAACAGAGAGTACCAAGAACAGCACTGACTGGTGCTGATGTGGAAGTGGTCAGCTCATGTGGGATGGGGTGCTGGGCAGGACAGTAGAGGAGAAGGCGTGCCCTGACAGAGGATGGAGACAAAGACCAGATACGATTCCCCACCTTTTGGGTGGCAGTTTGAGTGAACATACAATATCCACTCCACACTTGGGCACATATGAGTGAAGCAGGGAAAGGAGCAGGAAGGCTGGTCCTGTGTAAACCAGGCACCTGGGTCCAGAGCGGGGCAGCACATGACATGCACGCAGTGCGTCTCCACACTGATGTGTCTGGCACCTGGCGACACCATTCCTCATGTAACAGTGTTACAGTGAGCACTTATTTAAAACTCAAACACAGACACTCCACCCTCCATTCCCAGTGCTGGCTTCCCCAGCAGGACAGTCACTGGAGGATTGTAAACAGAGCCATTTGCACATTGTTTCTCCATAGCAGATTGCCTCAAGACTGAAGATTCCTGACTTCAAGTGCTCCAGTCACAGCTGAGAGACCACTGCCACTATCCAAGAGAATTAGAAACGCTAGGTGCAGGCAGTGTCTATAGGCGTGAGGGTGATAGATCTAAGAGACACTGACAGGCAACATGGGCTGCCTGGGAACGGAGGCAAAGGAGCAGCCTAGAATGCAGCTATGTGTACACAAACAAGCATCACAGTCAGGACAGAGGGCCCAGGCTGGAGGGAAGGAGCTTATGGTACTGAGCCAAAGGTGTCACACCGAATTTAGGGCTTTACAAGTGGGGAGCTGGCACTCTTACAAGAGGGCTCCCTACTCTGCTGCGCCACTGTGTTTTAAGAGCATGAGATCCACAGTGTGCATTTGAAACAGAGCAGGCCAAAGTTATCAAGACCACAAGTCAAGTTACAATAACAAAATCATTACTATTCTGAAAAGGTTAAACATCTTATAAACAATTCCAAACTATTCTCATGGGACATGTATACATAAACATCAAGTTTTATTTCCTTGATTATGAGGAGAAATAATTTTGTTACAGATCTCAATATAGCTAAGTAGTAGATTCAATTAGAGGAGACTATGCTATATATGAATTTGAATTGGTCAATTTACTTCAGGAGGAAGGTGGTGGAAAGTGAAAAAATACAAGTTTATTTTCTAGTTCAGAAACTTAAAGGAACATGTTTCTCCTTCTGACTTAGTTGGTGGTGCATGAAGAAACAATAAATTCAGGGTCAAAACCTCACTGCCCTTCTCCTGACTATAGTTTTATATAGAAGCTGCCCTGCATTGAGGGTAAAGAAGAGGAAGAAAATAGCAAAGGCTTTACTGTTCCAGATGCTGAAGGCTATGGCAACAGTTAGGACTATAGCTTTGTTTTTTCTGGAAAATGTTAGAGACACAGCAAATTTATAGGGTATACTGGGCATATAATATGCATGGTCAATACACATTATGAAATTAAATTGATAATACCTAGGCTACACACAGGAGCTGAATGCAGACCGTGCTTTCAATAAATTATCAAATAGGTGACATAGACAGGCCTATGCATATAGATGTGTTATATCACACAGCACAGGTTAATATTCAGCAATCTTTCCATGTTCTAATCTAGGGCACTCTGTACATTTACCTACTTAATTCTCAAAACTTCCAGGTAGGTGCTGTTATATTTCCATTTTACAAATGAAGCAATTGAGTCAAAGAAAGGCTATCTAACTTGCTAAGATTACACAACCAGTTATTAACAGAGATGGTTTTTGACCAAGGCAGCCTGCTCTGGAGTCTTAACTTCATCAATCTCTACAATACTTCTTAGGAACAAGGTCACATATAGGTTACTCTCACCTCAATCTTACTATGTAGCTGAGGAAGGCCTTGGAATTCTGAACCTCCTGGTTCTACTTCCCAAGTGCTGGGATTACCATGTGTGTCACCATGGGCAATGCGGCAGGCGTGTTTGGACCAGGATGCTTGTTTCCCATACTGGTATGTGTGTAGGGGGCGGTGGATGGGAGGAACCCACAAACTGATTCTTGAAAGAGGCATGATTGAGGGAGGTAAGAATAAGACCCTAGGTAACAATGAAAGCCGGAGAGGAGGGGAGGACTTCAAACTGGCTGGAACACAGGATAGGTGGGACTGCTGTCTTTAGCAGTCTTCAGAGCTAGTCAGAAACTCTGGAGCCAATGAAATGGCTGGGTGTACAAAGAGAAATGAAGTGACAACATGTTACATGGAACAGCAGTGAAAGGTCAGGCCTGGAGCTACTGACTTCAAGCTAAGAATCTTGCCCTGTTCGTCTCCATGTTCATTTGTTTGCTTGTTTGTTACTCAAAGCTGGAGCTGAACCCAGGGCCTCACACATAACAGCAAGTGTTTACCACTGAGTTAGCTGTGTGCCCAGTCTGTCTTGTCTCTGTTTCCTAGCACTTATAATGGGTAGGAGGTATGATAAATTTCTGTTGAACTCTAATTTCAGAACTTTTGAGTTTGGTGGAGTATCCCCTGAAACCTCAGTACTGAGAAGAGGAGGTAAGAGGACCAGGAGTTCAAGGCTAGCTTGGGCTACATAGAAAGAGCTCCTCTCCCCATTTCAACAAGGCAGACATAAAGAAGGGAGGAGAATGGCAGAGTTTGGGTGATACCAGGGATGTGGAACTGCCTGAAACAGAACAGCTGCTGCAAGCATAACTTAAGCAGACCCTGAGATCTGGGCCTCTGTGCTCAAAAAGGAAAGCAGAAAGCACTAGGAACTGAGGCAAACAAGCTCAGCAGAAAAGAAGTAATGCTCTAAAGACAGAATGCCCGTGACTGACGGGGGGGGGGGGGGGGGGCTCTTCTCTCTGTGATGAAGATCTCGAGGAATGCAAGGAGACCTAAAGGAATGATGACTGGTCTCTTCAGTGCCACACTTAGTCAAAGTAGAGTCACTGAACTTGGAACACAGACCCACCCAACAGCCCCACTCAGATGTTTACTGTGCACTGCACATATGCTTAAAGCTGAGCCCTGGCCCCTCTCTCCACAATGCTCTCCAGCGGCTTTCCCCAGGATGTGCTGCTAGCAGTTCATTCCTTCTTGTTGCTCAGGCCAAACCCTGACATTATCCCTAGCTCCCCTTTACCTCTTGGTCTGTATAGATCTATCTACACATTCTGTTGGCTCTACCTTCAGAACATTCCTCAGAATCTATCCACCAACATCTCCCATTCAATCTGCAACTGAAGCTGACTCTAGGATCTGCTGCTTCTGCCCAGCCCCTCCTCGTTTGCTCGGCACACCAGTCACACAGGTGCTCTAACAGATTTGGATCCTGTGAAGCCCTATGCATAGGCCTTCCAAAGCTCCTAAGACCAAAGGCTGTTAGGATAGACAAAGCAGTTCTTGAGAAACTCTCTTGGCTTATCTCACCCACCTCAGACCTTGGCTCGGGCTCATGAGCCTTCTGCTCCTTCACCTTCTAAGCATGTTGCCCATGGACCCTGGTGTCTGAACAAATGACTCTTCACTTCCAGTTACTTCTCCCTACTCTGCTCCTATGGGAGCACTGAGGTGAAAGGGGTCAAAGCTCCCAGTTCAGAAAGGCGCTGGCTTCTGAAAGAATACAGAACCTGCCACCAGGGTAGACCTATACAGCACTGGTCCAAACACATTGGACTAATATCCTCCGGTTCCATAGTCCCAGTAAATGGAGCCCATTCGATAGAGAGAGAGAGAGAAGGTCTGATAAAGGTTAATCTGAGAACACTGACTACTCAGGAAGGAGGGGAGTCCACAGAAACACTACACAGACCCACTTGACCTTGGATACTGGAAATTGATGGTGCT